CTCCTTTCACTTATCATCTTGGGGAGGCAAAAAGGCTGCAGTCCTCGTCCTCCTACTCCTAGAGTTTCTGAGAGCTTGTCTCTCTAGGAGCACTTCCCTGCAACTAAGCTCTGGAAACTTTTTAGTAACTGTCAACTGCCTAGATAGCTGGTTGGCAGCTAACTGCTTACACGGTGTCCAAAATTGGTTTGTTCTCCTTAAAGGAGCCTGTAACAGATAAGCCGGGCTCTGGTTGCCCTTAAAGAAGCCAGGGTTTATCATCCAACTACAGAAGCACTGTATAGCAACAAACAAAGATGTTTGCCTACAGTTGCTAACTGAGATGAATCTGTGACAGGTCCCTTTGACAAATCCGGCCTAAATCATTCTACATATGCTCTGGACATGATAAGATCTACTTTCCATGATTTTGTCTTATTCCCCTAACAAATCAGTTTGCTGCTGTTTTACACATCAGAAAATGTTGCTGCATGAGTCAGCCCCAAAGTTTCGTCTCTGTTTGCAACTGCGGACAGATACCTGTATTTGGGTATCTGCTATACAATTCTTCTGTAGCTGGATGATATCCACATTAAATGGAGAGCCCATACAAAAACAACAAACAAAAATGATGTTCAGAGCAAAGGATTTCTGGACCAGCTCATCACCCTGAAGTTAGCCAGTGAATAAAACATTGTTTTGGTTAATGCTGTCTCACACTCAGCTTCACAAATAAAGAGGGTGGAAAGGCCATTAAAATGCATCTTTTCAACCCATCTCTACTTCACAAAACTGGACTTGACAAGCTTCAATACTGTCCTCAGGGCTTGTTTACACACAAGTTATATTGCTTTAACTATAACGGTACATAGTTAGTTGGTACAGTAACACCCTACCTCTAATAGGGATGCAATTACAATGGTAAGGCGTTTTATACTAGATAGCTTATACCTATACAGTAAGGGCAATAAACTAAACCTGTATAAGGCACCAATATAAAGTGCCTCCACACTGGTAAAAGTATTTCAGTAAAACATTACAGCCCTAACCAAAATATTTATAAATATTTTAAAAAAAAAAAAAACCACACCACACCACACATTTAGACCAGGCCTGATGGAGCTATGCTAATGAGGGCATCTTCCTTTAAACAAAGTAATGAAGAAAAATTGCTATTTGAATGTTTTTGCCTTAAGCCATGTCTACACTGCAAACTTTTGCTGACATAGCTGTGCCAGCAAGCGGTTGATAAGATGTGACTTTGTAATCAACATAACTGTGCTGGCAAAAGCCCCTAGTGTAGATGCAGCTTATAGCTTTTGCTAGTATAGCTTATGTTGCTCGGAGGGGGAGAGATGGGAGTAAGCTATCCCACCAAAAAGGGCGGTCCTTATGGTATACGCTGGGTCCATGCTAGGGGCTTTTGCCAACACAGTCAGTTGTCGGTTACGTTCATGCTAGGAGTGCTTCGCCAGCACCGTATACTGCTATACTAGCAATACATGCCTGGTGTTGTCTTTGCCTAAGATTCTCTTGGTCTTATACCCTAAAATGATGGTGAGATACGTGTGCACAAGCTGCTGAAACCATTTCACCAAACTGTCATTCTAGCGGTTAGACTGGCAACCAACAAAAGACTGCAATTTTCCACCTCTATTGCATTGTACGTAACATTGGGGCTACACAAATTTTAGCATGTAATGCTTGATAACATTTATATGAAAGCACAGCCCGGCTTCCTTTATTGGTGATGGTTTCAGAAAATAACTGCTAGAAGAACAAGAAACACAATCAGAAGTAACTTCTTCATAATGGCTTTGGAAAGTCTAATAAAACTACAAAATAAAGAGCTGCATATTTGGGATTTAAAGAGGCTTTAGCTCCTCCTCTGTTTTTTATTGCTCCAGCAGTATTGACATTTCCCATGCCAACATTAAGAAACATGCATACCTTTTATAACAAACAAGAAACCTGGGCATGACTGACTGACTATGACATGTATCCAATACTGAGAAAGCAACTCAGGATTTCACAGGAGAGCTGCTCCTGCTAACATCACAGATAGTGACTTCTTTGAATTCACTGAAACATGACAGCACTACAGCTGACTTGAAAAGAGGATTTGTTTTTTCCACCAAACAGCTACTTTCTCTACAGAAGGACATAACTTTTAATGATAGTGGAGATGCAGTTCGATTTAGTGTTTACCTGAAACAGAAGATAAACATGAATGATCCTTATGATGAATTCTCAAAGCAAATATGCCATTAATCAACGATAAAGGCAAAAACAATCCAGTCAATGGTCCCTCGTGTCCTTTCTACTTTGTATCTCAGTCAAGGGTTTGATATATTTACTGGGGAAGAGCTACTGGGTAGATGTATTAATTTTGCAATGCATCTATTTTTGAAAATTAGCTTCCCAGTGGAACTCTTAACTCCCGGGTTCCAGCTGAATTTACCTAATTCTTATCCTTCCATCTTATTTCTAGCACATTTCACGACTCTTCAGCTGTCATTTGCTGTTAATTCTCCCATCTGCTCTTCCATTTTGGCTCCTAGACCACATCCTCCCTGTTCTTGATTCTACCATGAAGTTACTTCCCTCCACCTTATGTAACTCTCCCAAACCCATATGTTTTGACCTTGTCCCTGGCTATCTATGGTACTTATAGGGCCCACATTACCATATCTCAGCGCCTCAATCTTTTAATGTATTTATCCTCATAACACCTCTGTGATGTAGGGAAATGCTACCACTGCCATTTGCAGACAAGTAATGGAGCACAGAAAAGCTAAGTGACTTGCCCAAGATAAGCTAGGAAGCACAGAATTGAACCAATACCTCCTAGACTAGTGTCTTAGACACTGTACCATCCTTCTCCAACTCAGCACCAGGGTACTAAGCACTCAGTAGTTTCGGAGAGTAAGCGTGGGAGAAGGTAGGGAAAAATGAACAAATGGAGAGAGCGGAGCATGCAGTGAAAACAGGAGAAAAAAAATAGAATAGAGGAAAAGAAAGAAGGGAAATGCAAGAGAACATAATGCAAAAGGAAGGGATGCTGCCGTGACATGTAAAAAGAAGATTACGTTTTCCACAAGGAGAAAGGTAGTGGGGGGAAAAAAATCATAGACCAAAAGGAGAGAGAAAGAAAATGGAAAAGGAGGTGAAGAAAGATAACAATAAACATGGCAGAGAATAAAAAGGAAAGAAATACATCAGGGGAGATGATATGCATTGTGGTGAGGTTTGTGAAATACATGTTTTAATACAAATTATTCCCCATGTTTTATTACAGTTGTCAGGAAGACATCCAACACCTCCAGCAATTTCAGAGGGATGCAGGAGCGATGGCAGAACACAGTCCCTGATTTCTCACCACTGAAGTCAATGGGAGTTTTGCCATTAACGTCCATGGCACAGAATCAGGCCCATATTTGTTCCTTAGTAGGCTTAATTAAAATTAATGATAAGCATGAAACTAAGAGGAAAAATTACTTCACTATTAAAATTATCCTAATAACCAGTAATTCCCCTCAGCCCACCAAATTTGAAGCCCATTTTTAAATTATGTATTTGTAGAATTCCCATAGAGAGACAAGCTGGCGAGAGAGACAAGCTTCTGAGTTTAAACAGAGCTCTTCTTCAGGTCTGGTCCAGAAGAGCTCTGCATAAGTTCAAAAGCTTGTCTCCCTCGCCAAGAGAAGTTGATCCAGTAAAAGATATTACCTCACCTACCTTGTCTCTCTAATACCCTAGGAACGATATACCCCCCAGCAACAAGGCCAACAATAGAATTCCCACAGGCTGATATGGCATAGTCAGATGCCTGGAATCAATATATTAGAAATAACTGAAAGTAAACTTCAAATAAAATTCAACATCAATGAACAAGCAACAATTTCTAAAATGTAAAGGAACATGTTGAAGCCACAAATTTCTGTACTTGTTAATAGTAACACCACAGATTATGGAGTGAAAGAATTGTAGCTATCCAGTTTATACCTCATTATTATATGTTCTTGTTTATACTTCACATCTCAGTGGGGAAAAAAAAAGACTCAGTCAAGTCAGTTTCACGTTTGTTTATAATCAATTTCACATTCAGGCCCTGGAAACCCTAACTAGTGATGCAAATACTGAGGGGAAACATTTGATTAAAAATAATTGCACAGGGGAAGGGGTGATGGATGAGGGCTGTATGGGGGTGGGATGGGGGGCTGTTCTAGAAGAAGGGCTATATGGGGGGACAACATACATTGGGGGAAGGGCTGCATGGGGGTTGCCTTGGAGGCTGCACTAGGAGAAATGCTGCATGGAGGATTGTCTGGGCGCTGCACTGGAGGAAAGGCTGCACGGAGGGTTACCTAGGGGAAGGCACGGCAGGAAGGGCGGCACCGGGGGTTGCCTGGGGGGCAGCACCAGGGGGAAAGGGCTGCACGGGGGTCGGCACCAGGGGGAAAGGGCTGCACGGGGGGGGGGCGGCGGCGCTGGGGGGAAAAGGGCTGCCCGGGGGGGGGGGGTGTCTGGCTGCACGGGGGGGCTGCCCGGGGGGAAGGGCTGCCCCGGGGGTCTGGCAGCACGGGGGGGAGGGGGGGGAGGCAGCACTGGGGAGTCCGGCTGCTCGGGGAGCAGGGCGCGCTGGGGGGCGGGCTGGCCGGGCTGACCCGCGCTGCCGGAGCCGGGCGCGGCGCTGTGCCAGGCCGGCGGAGGGCCGCCCCGCGGCTGCGCCCGCGCCCCCTGCCCACCTCCAGGTAGAACAGGTCCTGCGTGGTGATCTGCGAGTCCAGGTAGTCGTCGTAGGCGTTGAACTGGGTGATGATGTGATCCAGGGCGGCCCCCGCCTCGTCCGCCTCCAGCGCCGCCATCCTAGCAACAGCCGGGCCCCGCCCCCCCCCGGCAGTAGGCCCCGCCCCCTTGCGCGGCTCCGGGGCCGCCGCGGCGGTTGTGCGCGCGCCCGGTCCCGCGCGGCCTCCGCGCCTGCGCCCGCCGCCCCGGGGCCCGCGCCGCGCCGCGCGGAACCCTGGGCTCAGTGCTTGACTTGAGCCCCGGCAGCTCTGGGCTCGCTGCGTCAGTTCGGAAAGTAAAAATAATTGCTTGAGCCCTAGCCTCTCTTTCGTTGCAAATTAAGCCCGGGCTAGACTGCTCTGTGTTGCTTGCATATGTCTTTGGACAGCTGTGTAAACAGGCATGGGTGCGTATGCACAGTGATCACCCCTTTGGGGTAGTGCTGTGAGCCCCAAAAGTCAGCCGCAGTCTGCCCCCCGCTCCGGCCAGGACTAATCAGGTGTTTGGACTTTCTTTGAGCAACCTGCACAATTGGACAGCAGTCACTCATCATCGGGTAGTTATTCAAACAAGTGGCCTAAATATAAGCCCCTCACCCTCTTGGTCTGAAAACGAAAACAAAAAGTATCAAACCCGGCTACTCCACTCCACTCGTTTTCTGACCCTTGTGAAATAAGAATTTGGAACATGGATTTCAGATTCGCTATGCCCCTGAGATCACCCTGTGTTTTATATCTTATGTTGAACAGCTGGGTCTGAGAAAGCATGCATCATCCCACCAGGCAAGTGTCTACTACAACAGGGGCTTGATCCTTCACCACTGAAATAGACAAGAACTTTGCTATTGACTGCAGTGAGCACAGGATCTGACATAGGAGCAGGAAGAGTCTCCCTATCAGGTTGGTATGAAACTAAGACCTTTTGAAGTTTTTCACAAAACAAAACAAAAACGGAGAGGATCCACCCCACAATAGCCTGAGTGCTTCGAACACTCCCCTGGGATGAAGGAAACATGAGAGAATACCCCAAGCAGGTGTCCTAACCACCTGGATGTTGGCTAATTCTAGGGTGGGTTCTCTCGCGGTCTCCGGTGGAGTTGTCTGATTTTGTAGAAATAATTACATAAAACATTCAGTGGAGTAGGGACTGGAACCTGGGTCTCCAACATCTCAGCTAAGTGAGCTAGCTACTAGGCCATAAAGTCAATCTCCTTTGGCCTGACAAATATTTAATTAATACAAAGTGGAACAGCTCCAACAAACAATTAAAGGAGCCTCACACCAGAATACCCCAAAGCCTAGTGGTTAGAGTGCTCACCTGCAATGTTGAAGAGCTAGGCTCAAGTTCCCTCAGAAATAGGCAGAGCACAGTTCCCCATAACTTCTGCATCCCAGATGAGGGCCAAAACCATTGGCGTTTCTAGAAATTCCATCCTGGAGCCTCAGAAACCTTCCTGATGAAAGTTTCATCAAAACTGCCCCTTCACAGGAAAGTTTCAGGTTTGATTAATTGGTATTTTCCAACAAAAAACTGTTTTGTCAAAATGATTCCCCAGCCAGCTTTATGCAGGTGGTCAGAATAGATCATCATCGTGGTCTCTTCTGTCTTTAAAATATATGCATCTTCTTTCTTCTCTGACTGAAACTGCCTCATTAAACAGAATCTTTTACATTAAAAGTAAAGCATGCCCTTACTTCGACCCCAGTTCAGCAAAGCCTGTAAGCACATGCTTAACTCTAAGTATAAATCCACTGAAACAAATGAACTATTTTGAATTGAAACAGGTATAACAGCATACTTTGTCCCAAAGCATCTGAGTCTTCAAACATATCCCAAGGATTATGAAGAAAATTCAAGATGGTACCCATGTGCAACTGCCTCTGGCTGACTGGAAAGCTTTATGAGCCAGCAGCAGGTTTTTCCTTGTATAAACACTGACAATTCCTAAACTGTTTCTTTCTGGGGAAGAGGAAAGGGAAGACTCCAAACAGTCTCTAATCCCTTGCAGCAGCCACCTTGGCCAAGCAAAGATAGCTCCAAGATAAGAGTCACTGAGATGTGTTTAGATTAGATTTTGCTGGATGTGCGAGGTCACTACACTTTTAAATTGACAGAACTGAATACCTTGTTTTAGAAAGCCAGGATTTAGATGCTGCACTAGTCAGACAGATGCTGGTAAAGCCCTGCATACCAGTGCTGAAAAACTTAATGGGAGCAATCATCTTGAGGTGGACGAAGCTGATGGTTGATATGAAATGATGAGAAGGAAGACAAACTCTTTTTTAGCAGCACTAAGGTTACCCAGAGAAAGAGTTATCTAATCCATCAAAATACATTTTATTGACCATTTGATTAAAAAAGAATAGTGTAAGTTTCCCGTGAATCACCTTAATATGGTGCAAGCTTGTGGATTTCTAGGAATGAGAACTTTTTACGGGTGGTCATCAAATAATGATGGGTGCTTGAAACAGTGCACTGCACAGCACTCGAGAAAGCCAGGAATGGTCTCAGAGTCTTATCTGTTCTCCCATCTATAATGCTCAATGAAAGGGACAGTGTCAAGCAGTTTAAGGGTCCCAAAGTAGATTAAACACCCTATAAATAGTTATGAAGCTTTATATGAAGAGAATGGTCTTCATAATGTTATCAATACATTTGAACATTCCCCTAGGAATCCTCAGCAATATCATGCTAATGCATGAGAACCAGACAGGGAAACTAGCAAGCAAAATACGACGTTAGCTAGTGTGGATTCATTGTCTAAGCTGAATGACATGAAAGAGACCCTGACTGCATATGGTAAAAGATAACAAAACATGTAAGGCTATCTACTATGTTATTAGTAACAGGTAGTTCAATTTTTAGAGGAATTGTACGTTGGCTGTCCCATTAATAATAAGTGCACCAGCTACTGCTGATGGCTTTTTCTTTTCACGATTTGCTGGAGGGCTATACAGATTTTTTTTAACGTTTTCAACTTTATATTGTCATTCATCAAGTAATGTTCCCCACTAGGACTACTGGGAGGTAAAAATACTGCTGCAGCCTTTTGATGCAGAATAAGAATCCATTCCAGCTATGAAAGGAAACCAGTTAAAGAGGCAGTGTTTTGTCCTTGAGTTCTTAAATCAAGACACTTATCAAATACCTCCATCTTAAATGTCCAGTGGCTTCCAGGGAGAACTTCATAGGTCCCAACACCTTTTACCCCATGCTGTAAGTGTACAGGTAGTTAAAACGAAAAACACACACTATGTAAGTACTTAATATTAGCCATTCAAGCATGAATATTTTGGTTACAAAGATGGAGATTTGCTGTGTGCCTTAAATAAGTCACTTACACCCTCTGCAACTCAGAGGACTTTTGTAAAAAAAAAAATAAAGAGGTAATACTAGCCTAATTTCAGAGTGTTGTAAGAATTCCTGTTGGTTGATCACTGAAAGTACAGTTTGGTCCTCAACCAGCTTCAGTGGACCTATATTGATTTACACCAGCCAAGGGTCTGACGCAAAAGGTGCTATTAAAGTGTGAAGTAGAAATCGGAGGGGAGGGTCTTTACGTGTAAGAAGAGATGCTTCACATGAATTTGTAAAGTAATTTGTCAGAAATTTTAATTCCTGGCAGTGAAAGAAACTGTGGATGGAACTGTTCCTTTATGGGGAAAAAAGGTTGCTTTTGTAAGCGGGGGAATAGTCCCGCTATTGTGGGGAACTTTCCTGGCTTCTGCACTACCCCGGTGAAGTGGGCTAGCGAAAGGATCTGAGTCCTCGCTCCCACTTCCTTTACCCAGTGGCCTCCCTGCCCTTGAGGACTCCCCTTCCACTCTCCTGTCTGGCAGAGTCCTCGTAACCCCAACAAGTCTGCGCCCAGGATTCCTGGAGGGCTCGACCCCCAACCCTGCTGTGGTCACCTAGGACAGGGGCTAGGGTGTCCCAACTCCAGGGTACTCTCTCTGCACTGGGCACTTCTCTGACCCACTGACCATTACATACAAGCTAAAGCAAATGCAAGTTATTTAATCAACAATTAATTTTAAAAAGAATAAGGAATAATGGGAAAGGTTAAAGGAAACACATCAACCCGCTCTGTGGCAGGGAACATCACAAACAGTGTCTCTGGAATGTCAGGGCACTTCACAGTCTGTTCCTTGTAAGTCCCAGGTCTTCTTCTCAGGCCCTGGCTGTGCTGTAGGGATGCTGTGGGTTGGACACTCGCTCTGGTGGTGGCCACACGCTCTCAGGCTCTAAGTGGTAGGACCCTTCTTCCCAGTGTCGCCCCTGCCCTGTCGGGGTTACGATCCAAGCCTGGCCTGCAGAGCCTCTTGGCTGAGGCGTCTCCCTGTGCTGGGCCTGCTGCCCAGGGTCCCCCTCGCTCTTCCCAGCTGCTCACCGCACCCAGCTCCAGACTGCTCCAGCTCCAGCTCCACCACTCTGTCTCAGCACTGCTGCTGCTGCTCTGCTTCCAGCTCCCTGGGCTGCTTCCTTGGCCCCTCTGCCTCTGGTTGCCGCAGCTCTGCTCCCAGGACAGGTCTGCTCTGCAGGCTGCTTCTGTGACTGCTCCCAGCACTGACCTGCTTCCTGGGCTGCTTTTCTGGCCCCTCTGGCTGCTGCAGCTCTCCTCCCAGGGCAAATCTGCTCTCTCTGGCTGTGGCTCTGGCTTTGGGACTGCAGCTCTGCTCCCAGGACAGGGTCTGCTCTCTCTGGGATGCTTTTCTGGCCCCTCTGGATCTCGCACAGCTCTGCTCCCCACCTCAACTCAGGCCCCTGCTTCCTCCTTAGCTCAGGCCCACTCTGTCTGACCCAGGCAATTCCAGATCACATGGAGGACGGGACCTCCCTGGCCTCCTGACTCCCTGATTAGCGTGCCTGCCCTGTCATTCAGGCTGACCTGGAGTATTGGCCTTTCCCCATTGTTCCTGGGGGCTGTCAGTCTCAGGGTCCTGATTCCCCATCGACCCTTCCCCCTTTTTAGTACTGGGAGCTAGCAACTAAGACACCCCCACTGAATGTTAGTAAGGGAGCAACAGTCCCCTTACACATTCTTTACTATTTAGGCACTAGTATTCAGCAGGTTTCAGGCATTTCTGCAATGTAATCACTACAATCGAGTTTTAAAACCTCAGGAAGCCCTGCCTAATGAGTAGAGTTGCCATTTATTTCTCCAACATATCCTTTAAGGAACAAATGTGATTGGCAACCTGATTAAGTCTTCCTTGAAAAGAAAAATGGAAAGGATATAAATAAAAAGATTCTTGCACTACTCACTGAATGTCTGGAAGAGTATGCTGAGTGTTATCTGCCATGACCTGTACTTGGATCTTTTTCTTACCATTAGTGTAGAATGCTGCAAGCCTTTGCGCAGAAAAGAAGCCCATGGAAGTCTAGAATACCCACAGAAAGCTAGCAGAAAAGGAATTAATGAGCTCTAAAGTGCTAGTGAACTGTCTGTTCCCATTGTAGGATCTCTGTCACTGTCAGACAAAGCTTTCCTTTGAACATGTATTCTTGGTTTTGGTCTACAATTTTTAAAACCTGAGATTTGGAATTCTTCCCAAGCCGCAGACATTCCAATCTTGACAAGAGGACAAGGAAGGGTTCACAGAGACAGGGAAGCATATTACATGTGCTACAAATAACACACCCTTTAATAAATTAGAAGTCTCTCTCAAAGATGGCAACAGAAATGGAAAGTCTTAGGCATTGCAATGCTGAGTGTCATGGTGCCTAACTTTCAGGCATCTAGAAAAATCACAGGAACAACAGTGTAATCCACAAAGCTGAGTTCACTGCAGAGACTCCCTATACAATAGGAAATATGCCTTATGGTCTTGGATGGATACTGAGTCACCAGTAGTCTGGCCCATTCAAGCAAGAGGTATGTGTCACCCCTCCTCGGCTA